GTGTGCTAAGCTCTTTGTACACATTTTCTTACTGACGTCTCCCAGCAGTCCCCAGAGCGAAGGTGTTCTCTCTGTCATTTTAAAGATGAGGAAGCCAAAGTCAGGCGACTTTCAAAGTGACATTGAAGCTGCCCAATGCCTTCGGACGTGTCCTCGCCCCACCTTGCATATGGGCTTGTGGGTACAGACAGTGGCTTGAGGGCTTTTAAAAATAAATTGTATATGTGTGTGCGGTACAGTTCACTCTTCGGTGTTTAGTTCTGTTGAGTTTTGACAAATGCGTAGATGGAGTGTGCTTCTTAAATTCAAAATTTTTACACAGAAATTTTTTTCTGTTTCTTTAATTTTGTATCTATATAAGATGACAGACTAAACTTACTGTGGTCATCATTTCATGATGTATGTAAGTCAGATTGTTACGCTGTACACCTTGAACTGATACAGTAAACTTGAACTTATGTCTCAGTAAAACTGGAAGAAAAATTAAAAGAAAATTTGAGGTTGTTATAAATTCACACAAACATAGTGGTTGTAAGAAATAATAGAAATCCTGTGTACCGTTTACTCAGGGTCCCTCAACAGTAACATGTTGCAAAACCGTAGTGCGAATGACAAGCAGGAAATTGACACTGATGCAGATACAGAACATTTCCATCTCCTCGCGGCTCCCTGCTGCTGCCTTTCCCTAACCACGCCCTCCTCCCTCCCACTCCTATACCCCCATCCCAACCCCCCAGCCACTACTCGTCTCGTCTTCCTTTCTATAATTTTGTCACTTCAAAAACGCCATGTAAATGGAACAATGCAATAATTAACCTTTAGGGATTGGGATTTTTCGCTCAGCATAATTCCTTGGAGATGCATCCAAGTAGGTACCAACCGTTCATCCCTTTCTACTGCTGAGGAGTGTTCCATGGTGTGCTTGTTCCGCAATTTGTTTAGCCAGTCATCCGTTGAGGGACATCTGGGTTGTTTCCTGGTTTTGGCTGTTATGGATAAAGCTGTTATGAACATTCATGTGCAGGTTTTTGTGTGAACATAAGTTTGCGCTGCTCTGGGATGAATGCCAAGGCGTGCGCTTGCTGGGCTGTACGGTAGTTGCTTGTGGGGCTTTGAGGGATGTGTTTGGGATGGAGAAGCAGGGTTGGGGGTCTTGCTGCAGAGGGCCTGTGTGGGACGTACAGGCCTGGGGGCTCCTCCCTGACATCCTGGGTGGGCTGCTTCACCTGCCTGTGAAATGGGGATAATTGAACCTGTCATGTAACTCATGCATATAAAGGTATACAGTAGGTGCTCAGTAGATGGAAACAGTTGTTAATATGAGTTACGAGAAGACCCACCAGGCCAGGGCAGAGTCTGTGCCCCAGAGGTGGCCTCAGGAGGCCGTTACCTTGCTGCTGGTGGGCTCTGGGGCCTCCTTTTTCCCTTGGGCAGAGCTGTGCACCCAGCTGTCCCTCAAAGGCCGAGTTCCTGTCTTCTCCCTGAGAAGTCCCTGGCCCCGTTCTCAGACTGGGCTGTGAGTCTCTGGACGTGCACTGGCATTCCCCAGTGAGCCTGGCCAGGCCCATGCCACGGATCAAAGGAATCCCAGGGAATTCCAGATAGTGCCAGGTTCTGCTGGTCTGGATTTGCCTCACAGGGTCTGGGAATGTGCCCAGATCATTTCAGATGTTGCTATGATTTAGCCTAATTCCAGAAACGTGTACAGCTCTTGCTGTAGTCAAGGCCCTGTGCTAGGTAGGTGTTGCAAAGGGTTCGGAAAAAATCAGTCTTTCAACGGATCGACACAGCCAACTCCAGCTCTTTGGGGAGCCTGCTGTGGCCTCATGGTCAAGTCTCCATTCAGTCTGGCATTCAGAGCCTTTGGTCTGGTGGGAATCTGTCTTTTGAGCCCCTTGTCCGGCTGCTGCCCCCTTTCCACGTGCCCTGGGTGTCCGCCACCAGTGTGGTAACTGCCCCCCCACGCCGTGTTCAGGCCGGGCCGCCATGCTTTGCTCACTCTTCCCGCTGCCTGGTGACTCTTCCTTTCCTGCTGCAATCTTGCCTAGTTTCTTTTTAATAAAAAGGTGTCGTAGGCACTGGTTGAAATATTCGCACAGCGTGTGCGGGCGTAAAGCTGTACCGTCAAGGTGCCTCGTCCCGCTGCAGGGGCACGTGGCTGTGGGGCCATGCGGTACTGCCTTCTTGCTGTTTTCATATACAGTGTATCTTGGAGAGTTTTGTGTCTGTACCATTAGAATCCCCTCATTAAAACCGTGGTGCGGGTGGTGTGGTATTTGCATAGCTACGCCAGGGTTTCTGTAACCAGTACCCTCTTGATGGCCATCCAGGTTGCCGCCGCTCCTGGGCCCTTATAGGCAGCGCTGCGCGTCGTTGGCCCTGTGAAAAGGGGTCTGTTTGCCACTCAGCTCCAGTGCCCTCCTCCTGTCTGCCTTTGGCAGCTGTGGTGCCTGCACTCACAGTGCTCTTTCCATGACTCCCGAGGACAGGAATTAGTGGCGGACCGTCTTCCTCCTTCCAGTGCCTGCCATGTTTGCCGACCCCCAGTTCCCGGGAGCGCATGGTGCCCCAGTATTCACCGGCCTCTGCGCCCTGGCCTTTTGTAGTGGTAGGGCAGGGGCAGAGCTGTGAGAGCTGGGTCGCCTGCACCACTTCCTCTGTTTGGCTTCATGCTTGGTACGCAGCAGCTGCATCAGATGGGCTAACGTGTTTCCATGGTGATAGACTTCCATGGCACCATTCTTACTGGTTCTTACTGGCTGCCTACTGTTTCACCAGAGGCTTGGGCTGTAATATAGCTAGTCCCTTCTTGATGGAATTTAGTTTTGAAAAGTTTTGATGGAATTTTCCTTTTAAAAAATTTGAGAGGACAGATGCCTGGGTGTCCATTGCTGAGAAAAGATGGGGGCCCATGGGCTCCCCTGTGACACTAGTGACAGTCGCTACTGTTGACTGAGCACTTCTTCAGATGAGCTGGGTTTCTCCCTGAGCCAAGGGCCAGAGCTTGGTTTCCATAGGGTACAGTCAACTGAGGCAGGCACTGCGGTCCCTGTTCTGTGGAGAGGGAAGCCGAGGTTCAGAGAGTAACACGTAACTTGGCAAAGGTCACTCGGACAAGACATTTCAAGAGCTGGGATTCCAGCTCAGGTGTGCTCGACTCAGGACCTGAGCTTGTAACCACGAACCCTCCTGCCTATTAGGGAAGAAGGGGGTGGGGGGAGGGCAGGTCACCCCCGGGCCTTGGGGCAATGGCTGGCCGCCCCAAAACTGAATCAAGGTTGCACCCAGAGGGAAGAAGGCTGCCATCAGGCCTCGCCTCTGTCTCTGAGCGGCACAAAGGGTCCCTTTGAAGAGAGAGTCCCCAAGTGCCCCTCGGGGCACTGTCCCGCTCCCGAGCCAAACATCCAGGGGGCTGGCGAGCATTCCTGGCTCAGCTTTCTGGCCAGACTCGGAGGAGTGATCTGAAATTCTTTGCTAGGGCAGATCATACTTGGTCAGAACGTGTCACTTCTATATTGATGTGGCTTTGAAGCTCTGCAGGTCTCCCAGTGTGACCTGGGAGCCTGTTGTCTCCACCGGGCCTCCCCCCTGAACAGTCAATCCTTTGAAAATGTATTGATTTTCCTCCTCCCCTTCCCTGCTTTTGCACTTTGGATGAACCTTGTTTTCGAAGAACAGTAGAAGGTAATTTTCCTGGGCTTGCCAGCTGGCCCGTAATTGAGCAATTTCAATAACACCCACTGTAAAGTCTAATCGAAGTACACAGGAAAATATGATTTACAATCTGGACAGCAAGTAAATACCAGGGCGCAATTAATTTTTACACAGAGTAGCAGATTCTAGAACATTTTCCTGCACTGACCGGTTTGTTTTTAATTACAGGTTGGGAACGGCCTTTTTATTTAGTTTTTACTCTTATTATCATCACTTTTTGCTTTCTAACACTTTTTAGGTTCCTTGGACCTGTCTGGCTTTCTCTGCAGGCGTGACCACAGATGAGTGGGAAGGAGACAGGATCAGAGATTAATTTATAAGGTGTGACTTTCCCGCCCTGAACTGAACGGCCACACTCTTGGGGCGTCTGCTTGTGGGAGATGCCGGTAGATGAGGGAGATGCCCCGGGCTGTGTAGAGTGATGGTACCAGCCGCTCCTGGGAGCTCAGAGGGGTGTGCGCAGACCCTGCAAGGGCTGTGGCTTGGTTTGGCACATTCTGAGGAAGGGGACAGAGCTACAGAGGCCCCCAGTGTTGCAAATGTGTCATGGTGGAAACGTGGTGCTTCCAAGGATGGGAAGTACGTGCCTTTAAATGGACCCTCCTGGTTCTTCCAGAAGCTTCTGTTCAGACCTGGGTGGACAGGAGCCACCTTGCTGGCTGCCGAGCTCTGACCCCGTGGGATTTGACTGCAGGGTGAGCACATATCTGGCTTCAGCCAACCTTGGGTTGTCTGTAGAACCAGCTCAGTGTAAGAAGTCAGACAACTTGAGGACACTTTGGGGACAGCATACTGAGGAGCCCAGACCTGGAGATCTGTCATAAAGCTTCCACGTGCAGTTACTAAGTACTACATATAAAAAAGATAAGCAGCAGGTTTCTACTGTACCGTGCAGGGAAATAGATTCAATGCCTTGTAATAACCTGTAATGAGAAATAATATGAAAAGGAATATTTATATACATATATAACTGAATCACCATGCTCTACACCAGAAATCAATGTAACATTGTAAACCCACTATACTTCAATAAAAAAATAAAAGTTCCATGAGGCTGAACTGAGATTCACTGTTGTGCACATCAGCACATTGACTTTAGGTTGGTGTAGGGGATGGGGACTCAGAAAAGGTGACTCTGGCCTTGGTGGCCCTCCCAGGATGCTTCTCCTCCAGAGGGAAGGCAGTTCCATTCCCAGCGGGGTCCCAGCGTGGAGGGGAGTGGGCTGCTCTCTCTGGGCCCTGGTCTTCCCCAGTTCTGAATCTCTTTGCCTTTCTTGTCTTTGCAGGGAGCTGACGACACGTGGCTGTTTCCTGGAAGAGCCCCACCCCGAGGGTGAGTGGCTGGGAAGGAGCTGCTTCTGCTGACAACGTCACCTGGAAGGCGCCCAGGAGGTCTGCCCAAGTCTGCCGACCTGAAGATGGCTCGTGCCCACCCTGAGCTGGCGCCCAGCGCCTGAGGTCCTTACCATGGTGATGATCCTGAGTCAGAGCCTCGACAAGCAGGGAGCTGACCCCGTAGCATGCAGGACCTTCAACCCTGAGCTGGTAAGGACCCAGTGGGCCTCATTTCTCTGATGACCCTTTTGAGGCCCATTGTCCAGGTGGGGCTGTGGACTGAGCAAGCAGATTAGCAGACCGAGTCCATAGGGCCCGCGAGCGGAGCTCTGTGAGACATGGCAGGTGGGGTGGTGGGGCTGGCGGGGCCAAGTCACCCAGGGCCTGGCTGTGTCCTCACAAGAAGGAAGTAGCCGGCAGAGAGTGGAGTCCTCTGGTGAGCGAGGAGGGAAGGCCAGCGCCCTGGTAAATAACACCAAGCCGCCCCTGCCGGGCTGAGGCGGACATTCCTCCTGGTCTCCACCCGGTAAGGGAGGTGATTTCTGGAAGCGGGGTGGTAACCGAGTTGGGGCTAAGATAAGGCCGTGCCTCCAGAGGGCGGTCAGAGTTAGAGCTGCCACCTCAGGAATGTCAAGAGTGGGAGATGATGGCGAAGAAGGTGCGGCCCGGTGGCCAGGGTGGTGATGGCCCCCACGGGTGAGCTGGGTGCAGGGGCAGCCAGTCTGTACTTCTGGGACTGAGAACAAAGCGGCCTCTTAGCCCTCCTTCCAGCCTTGATTCCTCAGGAGCTAGTGGGCTGCCCTCTGAAGAGGGAACAGGAAGAAGTCCCACTCGGGCATTTTGCACGTGGGCTTAGTCCCCAGGACTCTGCCGCTTCTGTGTCAGGGATTCATCGTCCAGGGTCACACTGCCTGGCGCCCCTCCTGGCTCCCCTCACAGCCCCTTATGGGAACCCACACAAACACCTCGTGGGCTTCCTCCCCCGATCTCACACCAGCTTCCACACCAAGAGTGGGGTCTCAGGTCCCTGTAGGAGCTTGTGAAAGCCACCGAGACCTGTGTCCACCCTGCGGGCCTCACGGAGTGCCCTGGGTGTGTCAGGCCCTGGGCTGGAGGAACTCCAAAGATGAGCCAGGTCTCTGCCCATCGCTGCTTCCTTTCCAATTTGCATTGACTGTATATCTGTAATTAGATTCCCTCTCACCATCCCCACTGCTGCCACTCTGGTGCCACCTGCATCCTCTCTTGCCTGGATACTAATGGGAACTGGTCCCCTGCCTCTGCTCCTTTAGCCTGTTCTCCACCCAGCAGCCAGAGGGAATGCAAGTCAGACTGTCCCTCCCCTGCTCAGAACCTGTCCACTGGCTTCCCATCTCTGGCCGAGCAAACACCAGAGCCCTTACTTGGAGGTAAAGGCCCGGTATGCTCTGCCCCTGAGACCACTCTGTTTTCTCTCTGCTCTGCCACTCACTTGGCTCAAGCCAGGCCGGCCTCCTTGCTCAAACGTGCCTCAGGGCATTTGCACTTCTTCCATGGCCTGGAACACTCCACCTTAGCAGGGTCTCTCCCTCCCTCCCTTTCCTTGGCCACCCGGCCTAAAATCTAATCCCACTACCACCCCCACCTCCATTCCTCGTGCACTCTGTGCTTTCCCATCTCCTTTTCCCTCCAAGGCACTTAACCACTTTTCTGACATTTTGATCTTGTTCCTTGAGTGACTCCTGCACTGGAAGGTGAGCTTCACAAGGCAAGGACTTTGTCTCGTTTGCTTCTTGCTGAACACCTTGTGCCTGACCCTTGGCCTTGCACGTGGTGGGCGCAGGGACATTTGTGCAGCGAATGAGGGTGGGTTCCTGTAGCCCAGCTTGTTGGCTTGTCCTCGTTTTAGTCCCTTCTCTGCTGCTCAAGTTCATGGCTGGGAGGTGCCAGGATGAGTTGCTCTGTTTTCTGCTGTCTTGGTGTTTCCCTGGTGAAATTAGAGCGTTCCTGTAGAGCAGCTCTGACCAGAGCAGAATGGCTCTCAGGGGCGGACCTCCTGGAGCTCCCAAGGGAGGGTCCCTGTCTGGGTCCAGCTGTACTGGTGCCTTAGTTGCCGCCACTGAACTTGGTTCCATCTTGGGGCGGGCCTGGCCGGGGCTGGCCGTGGAGCTGGTTCCAGGGCTCATGGGCCCGTGGTCATCTGAGACAGGGCCTGAGCTCCTGCCAGGAGGAGGGTGGCCTCCCAGCCCTCACGGGGAAGGAAAATCATCTGCTCAGAAAAGAAAAGGAGAGAAAGCCAGGGGAAGCAAACTGCCCTTGAAGGGGGCTCTGGGGCTTCCCAGGCCAGGGTCTGCCTTTTCTTCCCACACGCCACCCCTTCCCTTCTTGGAAGGGCATTTTCTGTCTTCCTCCTCGTCTTCCTGTGCCTAGACTCCCAGATGGACAGGCCAGCTGTGGGACCAGCCACCTTTGGAGAGGAGCCTTCTTTGTCAGTCTGTGGGCGCGTTCAGGTTGGCAGCACATCACAGGCCTGACCTGGTTCTGCTCACGGTGCAGGTGGAAGCAGAGCGTGGGCCGGCGTTGTCTGGGTGGGGCCTGTAGAGGTCCCACCTCCCCACCTCTCCTGGAGCCTCCCCCACCTGCTGAGGGGCAGGGATGCGTCTTTCTCTACCTGCTGTATAGACAGGAAACAGAGAGCCCAGGGGGCGGAGGGCCCAGGTCACACAGCTGGCGAGCAGGGTGCCAGGTTGCAGGCCTCCAGTGCAGGCCCTTGTCCACTCCACTGTGGCCCTCACGCACGCCCCCGCCCGGCTCCTGAGGCTGCAGTCATCCCTGGACTCCGCTAGGCCTGGGGGAGAGGCATGGGCTGTAAACAACCAAAGAAAGACCCAAAATAAGATCAGTCTAGCGATGACATCCACGAGTCAGAATGTAAGATGAACTGATTAGAGTTTGCTCCGAGCAGCCAACAAGGTTGAGAGGAAGATGGGGGTTTTGCTTCAGCTTCCTAAACTGGTAACGGCATCCTCACGTAAATACCATCAAGATAATAACAGGAAAGATGGAAAAGCTTTTCTCTTTTGTTTTCTAATCAGACTAAGAAGATAACAGAAGTGGGGGGTTCAGATTAAAAAAGAAGTCTTGAATCACCACAGGCCATTTTGAAATTATGGGAGCCGGCGGCCCCGCAGTGCAGACAGAGCCTCAAACTGCAGGTGAAGGTCACCTGGGGGCCCGGACGCACTGGGAGGGGAGAAACATGGATGCCCCCCGGGCCCTGGCCAGCCCTCCCACCCCCGCCTGCTGAGGGTCACTGTGATGGTTCTCTTGTTCTCCTTTTTCTAAAAACTAAGTGCCAGTGGCGACGTGACTGCCCCTACTCCCGAGAGAGAGGTGGGAGGACAGGAGAGGGGCCGTAGAGCTCGGTCTCGCCGTCCCCCAGGGTGGGGTGCCCAGCCCCAGCTCGGCTTGCACAGCGCGCAGCGATGACTCTCGGTTCCCCTTTCCCCCACTCCGCCCGGTCGCCTTCCTTTCCTTTGCCGAGCGGCTCTTCCTTCGAGTGTTCTAACATTAGCTGCTGCCGCTGGAAGGCAGCCCAGACTTTTGACCTCGGGAGCAGCGTTCCTCCGGCTCCTTCCCACACACCCACGCTCAGGCCAAGAGCCCGTTCTCTCTCCCCACAGCGACCGCCTTCCCCGGCCAGGCCGACCTCCTCTGCCCCGAGGCTCCCGGCCCTCTCTACAGTCCAGAGACCAGCGGGAGTTGGGGGTGCTCTCCTCCAGGGCAGAGGGCAGGCTACCTCACTTTCCTCAGCCTTGAGGTATTTCCGGCAAAAACAGATACCGGTTTTTGGAGCAGGTGCTTCCTTCCCCGCTTGTCAGATGAGGATGCCAAGGATAAGTGACTTGCCCCACAGAAGAGTCAGTGACTGCATTAGGCTGGGCACCCGGGGTCTTCATCCTCCCGTTCACCCGGAGTTGGCGTTGGGCTCAGCAGCCCCAGCCAGGATCCCTGGCCGGAATCCAGAAATGCGCAGAGTCCAAGGCAGTCTGATGCCTTTCCTCCAGCTAGCAGGGACACCATGGCCCGCCCTGCCGTGGCTAACCCTGCAGCCCGGGGAGCCAGGGCCCCCACCCTATCTCCATCAACATCTTTGAGAGCCTCCACCCAAAGGTGCTCCTCCCTTCTCAGCTTCTCTTCTTGGGCCTGGCTCTCCCTTCTGCTTTCCATGGCCAAGGTCTCTCCATGTTCCCTTCCAGAGGCTGGGGAGCCCCACGTGTTCCCCTCAAGTGTGAGTGTGGCTTCATCTGCATGGCGCTCTGGTTCCCCATAACATGCAGCAGGAGAAGGAAAGAGTGACACAATTGCTTTAGTCAGTAGTCTGCAGAAGAGCGTTATGAAGAAGCGTGATTATGGCCAGAGATGAGCTCGGCCATTTTCTGTCTGAGCTAGTTCCTCATTAAATAATAACCTGAATTGTGTCTTTATTTAAGTCAGGGTTTCTTGTCTTAGTCAGACAGATGGTCCCTGAAACCTCGATTCGATTTCTAGCTCTTGCCTTTCCTATGGAAGATATGATTCCAAAACCTTCTCCGGTGATCCAAGGAACCTGGGACACCAGGCTCTGCCATGGGGGAGGCTCAGGAAGCGAGCCTTCAGAGGGGGAGAAACGCCCAGGGGAGCTGTGCTCATTGTCTCGTCGCGCTGCAGACACCACCAGGGCCTGGGCGTGCACTTGTGTGCGTACACTGCGTGTCTTGTGAAACCTCAGATGGTGAGAGTTTCCCTGGGGGCCTGTCAGGCCTCACCACATCGTCCACATGGTGATTGGCTCATCCTTCCCACAGTGGGTGCAGAGGGCTCGAAGGGTCAAAGAGCTGGCTGCAGAATGGCACAAACCAGTGGGAGTGAAACAGCTCTGGACAACCTGGAGCGGGAACCTCGGGGTTGGACCCAGGGAAACCTGCCAGCGGTCAGAGTGTGCCAGGGGCCTGACACCCTGGGGTGCTGTCGGTTACATGGTATTCTGGCCTGCCCACCATCCACCCAGCCTCTTGGGTGGGGCTCTGTTGGGGCTCTGCAAGCAAGATAAAGGCTCTGTCCCATCGTTTTGGTTTTTTTTCCCTTTAGCTACCCCAGCAGGAGGCAGAAAGCCCAGGGGAAGTAGTTAGCCCGCGATTATTTTAGGCCTTATGTTTGACCTGAAAAAGCTGCTGCTGTCTGATCAGTCATTTCTCCATAATTACTTTGATAGAATTTCTCTACACACTCAAATCATTTTTACTGAATTGAGCATCAGGAAGAGGACAAAGGAAAAGAAAGAGGAGAAAGCTGCATTTTGACTCCACTCTACTATACATATCCTGGCAGTTTTTTTTTTTTTAGTATTTTTTTTCTTAAGCAGGTTTAACTTACACATTATATTTCCTCTTGGTACTGGAAGCCTCTGCTGAAACATCACTTTGAGTGGTTGTATGGTGTTCCTTGGAGTAGCTGAGTCCTGGCCTTCACCATTAGCCTCTTGACATCCGGCATGAAATTGGCCAGGGTTCCTCAGTTGTAAGCAGCAGAGACCATTTCCAGCTGATTTACACCGAAAGAGAATTCACTGGAGTGACAGAGAGAGCTATAGGCCTGGGAGAGTTGGTGAATAAAGCCCAGGGGAGGGCAGGGACAGGGCAGCTCGGAGGATCGTGGAGGCAGGGGCTCATGGCAGGCTTGGGGCCTCCCTGCTGGGTGAGCCTGCCCAGCACCCCCTTGGTTCAGGAGTCAGAGCTCCGGAGCGAGGAGTGCCTGGTTGGCCACACCCTTGCCCGTGCCTACCTTGTGCCGGCAGGGATGGAGGCACAGTCCCACCAAGATATGATCTGGTGATGGAGGGGAGGAGTCCCAGTGCACAACTGGGTGCAGTTAGCAGAAGAAGGGTGTGCATCACCAGACTGCAGTTTCACACGCTCAACGAGGGGAGTGGGGCTCACCCAGGACAAGGGGCACGAGAAGGTGTTCCTTCAGGTCATGAGAACTTCGTGCGAGCGAGCGATCGCTGGTCTGTGCTCAGCCCTGGGTGCAGAGTCAGAGGCTGTGTGGGGAGCCCGGGCAGCCGGGGGTTCCATCTGGACTTTGGCTGGTGCTCTTCTCCCTTCTGCACCAAGCTTGGACTTGGCATATGCCCAGTGACAACAGGTTCTGTCCAGTGAAAATCTGTTTCCGTTGGCCCTACACCTGCCGGACGTGTGGCAGCAAGAGCAAGACAGGCTTGGGCTGTCAGGTGGTCATAGCAGTCGGTCAGCAGATAGTCACGGGGCACCTGCTCTGTGTGGGGATTACTGTGGACAGGACCACACCCTCAAGAAGCTTGGTTTTGAGGGTTGCAGAGAATGACCCTAAGAATGAATGAACTGATAGACACGGGGCAAGTGTTGAGCAAGACCCTATAGAGAAAAGCATGGATGGGGAGGGTGCTTTTCAGCCAGGACGGTCAGGGAAGGTCGCAAGGAGGTCACATGACAGGAATGAGCTGCAGAACAAAAGCCCTGAGGCAGCAGCGACCTGGGCTGGTCCCTGAACTGTGTGTGAGTGAGGACAGGATGGATGAAAACTTGGCTCATGTGGGTCCAGTGGGCTGCGGGAAAGGGGCATAGCCCGATTCTTTCCTGGTTGCTGTGGGAAGCTGGACGGTTGTAGGCAGAGTAGCCACGTGGGCTGGTCTCCCTGGGTCTGTGTGGAGGATGGAGGACGGGCTGGAGTGCAGGCGGGAGACCAGGTGGAGGGCTCATTTGATCCCTCAGTGGAGGGTGATGGAGCTTGAGCTGGGCAGTGAGGGGAGTGAGAAGCACTCACGTTCCGAGCATGTGTTGTCCAACCCGGCGAGCGGGTCTATGCAGATGCAGATAAGTTCTTGCTGGGTGAATGAACGAGTGAATACATGAGTGACTGAGGCTCGCCTCCGTGGGCACAGACCCCAGCATCCCTGACGCCCACTCACAGGTCTGGATTCCTGGGGAGGCCCTGAGGTGCCCATCTGGGACCCGCTGGCTCTGTGGAAGCAAAGGCCAGTGAGCAGCACTGTTGGCTGGCCAGTTTGGAGGCCCACTCCTTCCTCGGTGGCCCTGAGTGTCTGTGCAGCCGGCACGGGGCTCCTGCCTGCTCCAGCTCTCCTGTTTTCCCTGGCCCGGTCCTGGCTTGGTTTCTGTGGGCTTCCAGCCTGGGTAGCTTTCCTCTCCTCCGGGGTGGGCAGTGAGGGCTTTGGCTCCCAGTGGGTGTTTGCTCTGTGCCCTGTGCTCCTGCAGTGCTGGGGCCATCGCCCTCAGCCGGCCAGGCCCAACTTCTCTCTCTCTGAACCTTCCCCAGGCAGTGGGCCCTGCCTGGCTTCCACAGGTGGCACTGCCGGGTGGCAGAGCTCTGATTGTCACCCGCTTTCCATTCAGTGACTGTGGTGTGAGCTGGGAGGGTGACAGAGGCAGCCGTCTTTAACTCTTCCCTGATATTTCCCGGGGTGGCTGTAGATTGGATGGAATCCAGGTGGGAGACCTGTCCTAGAAACATAAGGATTGTTTTAAACCCAAGGAGGGTGGCAACTGGAGGAGGACTGCCCTTCCCCACTTCGCCCTCTGCTGTAAGTTCCTTCAAAACCAGCTCTGTTTCCCCCAGGAAGCCAGCCCTGACCTCCAGCACCCACGGCCTGGCTCATCACCCCCCTGGTCCCACTCTCTGTTGTGCAGTGGTTGGTCTGGGTACTGTGGCCTCTATGAAATGTGAGCTTCCTTAGGGCCAAGGTTGGGGTCTTTCCTTTCTGTGCTCCAGGCCGCTTAGTAAGGACCCTTAATAACCTGATTGAGTGAACACATAGCTGACTGAGGGCATAGATCCCCAGCTGGGGCAGCTGGGGATGGGGTGGGGGAGCCGGCGCCAGCGGCTTGCTACCCTCCTATCTGGGTGGGCCAGGTACTCCTAGTCAGCCCCACCCTTCTCCTTCCAGGCCTGAAAGAGCCAGGGCTTGGGTTCCTGCCCAGTTCTTGGACTAGAAGCCTTGTATGTCCCTGCCACTTGGGGCTCCTCTCAGAAGTTAGAGCCCTATGTGACCGGCTGACCCCCTTGGAGCTAAGAGCTTCTGTCACCATCCTGTGCTCAACTCTACCCCTGCCTGCACATGACTGCTCACCGGTACCTACTTGTTGGATGGATGAGTGAATGAGTGAGTGAGACCCTTCTCCCTGGGGCTCCGATGGGCAGAGTCTCCTCCTCACCAGAGCTCAGAACACTCCTGTTGACCTGGCTTCAGCTCACGCAGGGAACCCTCGGAATGTTCCACGCTCAGGTTACTGTGTTGCCGTGGAGCAAGTGCCTGGACTTGGGCTTCTTCTGGCCTCCCTGGCTTTTCACCCAGTGGCCACAGTGTTCAGCTGAGGTTAGGTGTGGGGTCAGAGGGAGATGTGCAGTGTTTACAGTGGAAAGGGAAACCACTGGGGAGATACGGTGCCAAGGAGTTCAACAGCCATAGCTGTGTGTTGAGACCAAACATAACCTTTGAGTTTCTGTTTCAGTTTGAGAGGATGCCTGGGGGGCCTCATAGCTGCACAGCAGCCTGCAGAGCGAGGGCCACCTTCTTGAGCTTTACCTGATGCTTCTGCACCGAGAAGGAAGAGCTGTTCTCTCTGTGTCTTGAAGGGAGGGCTCTCGGGGTGGCAGGTGGGCCGCTGCCCTTCACTTGAGGCTCTTCCTGTCTCCATGGTCAGGGAGGGGTCCCCTCTCCTCCTGGCCCGGGCGGTGGGGAGGTGAACTGTTTACACCACATCTCCTCCTGCGCCCTCCTCCGCATCACTCACATGGAAAAATCCCCTGGTGGCAGAAGTCATGGGGCTTTCTTGTCTGTTTTTAAAGTCCATTAACTTGATGGACTCCATAACTCACCGGAGACTCCGGACAGAGAGTCCAGACCCAATTATGGGCAGATGTCTCTTTGAATACTGTGTTCTCCTTTCCCTAATCTGACGTTACCCCTTTAATTGTGACTTTAGCAAGGGATCAGTGCAGGGTCATGTGCAGACGTGCTTCTTATGACTTGAAGAGTGATAGCTTTTCTGGTTGTTTTCAGCACACGCCAAAGAAGATGAGTCAAGGAGCGACACTTTTCTCTTGTGGAATTATGGGTGAGTAACCGAGGTGGCTGTGAGCAGTCCTTTCCTAGTCCTTCCAGCAGGGCCTGAGTCCTCCAGGGGAGACGCTGAAAGCGCTCTCTGGACGCAGGCACAGAGCAGCTGTGGGGACGCTTCTGTGTGTTCAACTGCTTCGGTCCCAGTGGTGCTGGACTGGCGCAGGGGGCTGCTGGGGCTGAGTGAGCGGCTGGGCACTGGTGTGCAGTTTACAAATGTAATTTCCAATAATGACATTGAGAGTTTCTGTCTGATTATTAAAGTAATCATGTTCACTTTTTTTAATTCAGAAAATGCACCATAGTGGAAAGTATAAAATTGAAATCTCTCACAGCCCCAGTACCCAGTTACAACCACTGTTAATGTCTTGGCGTGTTTTATGTTCTTTGTATTTTTTTACATAGCCCAGTTCATGGTGAACATATGATTATACAAAATTTTATATTGAATTTTTTTTTCACTTAGTAATAATTACCATCATTTCCCCACAGCCTTTAAATTGCCTATTCCATGCATTTTAATGAGTCTGTGGCACTACACTATGTGGCTGATTGAGGATGTAGATAACGATGTAACTGTTTCTTGGTTGTTGGGTAGAAGGGCTGTTTTGTTTGCTCTTGTGATTAACAGTGACTAAGTGTCTGAATCTTGCTCTGCCTTTCGGATTATTCCTCAGGATAGTTCCCAGGAGTGGGATAGAGAGGCCGGAGGGCAGGAACGTTTTTAAGGCTCTTGCTTCATGTTTCTGATGTGCTGTCCAGAAAGATTGTCTTGGTCCCCTGCTCCCACGCAAGTGTGAATTACCATTTTTTATAAGGGGCCGAAAAGATGACTGTATTGATTGCATTGATTTCTCCGAGCGCCGGAGGGTCGGGCAGTTTCTCCTTGTGCTGTCTCTCCCCGACTCTTGCCTCCTACGGGGACGCCTCACCAGATGAGTTTCTGGAATGTCTTCACTGAGGCAGAAGCCAGGCTTCCATGATGGGTCACCTCTGCGGGCTTTCAGATTTCACATTTGTCTCTGCAGAACCGTGTAGTCTCGGTAGCCAGCTGGGTTGGCCCTTTCCCTCTGGGCAAGGTGTTTTCTTTTTCTTCTTTAGACCCAGTTCCAGGGGATGTGGTGATGGGGGTGGAGCCGGGGGTGTCGCAGGGGGCGTGGTGCTGTGCGGGGGCCCCATCCTGAAGGATCTCCTTGACTCTGCAGCTGCTTTGGGGGCCAGCAGGGGCTCTACTCACATGTGGGGAAACTGAGGCCCCAAGAGGTGAACACCCCCAAGTCCCCTTGGTGGGCAGAGTCGGGCCCAGGGCAGGTTAGAAGGACGGTTGTTTTCTTGTCACTCATAAACCACAGCTCCGTGGGAGAGCCTGGGCGGCCCTCTTGGTGCCACCTCCCAAAGGAAATGGAAACAGGGTGATCACTAGCCTTGGTTCATTCGTGCGACACACTTCTGAGGCCTGTCCCCACTCCAGGCTTGACTGAACACCTCGCTGGTGGTTAACGGCTTTCGACAAAACCCTCAGCGACTCACCTACGTGGCCCAGAAGCCAGCCTCGTCGTCTGCTTCCTGGGCCAGAAGCACAGCTGAGCTCCGGCTGGGCTGCCTTCCTTTGTCATGAGCAGGAAGGAGAGAGAGGCTCCGGGACAGCCTTTAGCTCTGAATCGGGCCAGACCAGCGACCCGGATGGTGGGGCTGCTGGTCTTTATTTCAAGGCTGTCCGTGCATCGGGCTTTCTTGGCCTTTGCACCAAGCGCATCATAATAAGTTGGAGCTCCTGTGGGTTTGTGATGGGCGGTGCTGGCACTCACACAGCCATTCTGAACTACATACCTTTACTAATCCTCAGTTTCCTCATCTGTAAAATGGCTCTTCGATAGTACCTGCCTCGTAGGCTTGCCATGCGGACTCAGTGAGACGTTCGTACGGAGGTTGGCACAGCTTGAGCTCCATACATAATAGGTGGAGGAGAGGGCTGAGGCCTAAACTGAGAATCCTGCCCCTGCAAGAGGCCTCCGCGCCCAAACAAAGGGACCACCTTGGTTTCCCTGGGGCGGGGCTGTAGGTGAGAGGGTCCCTCTTGGGGGGCAGATCTTCAGGCCCAGGGACTAAGGCAGAGGCCCTGGATGGAGGTACGTGGGGAGAGGTCTCTCCCTAGATTCCCAGCAGAGTGGATCTGAACCCACATAGCCCAGCGGCCTGCTTTCTGCTGGGGGGGCCTCTCCCTGGCTCAAGGTTTCCAGGATGACCTGTGCTGTTCTCCTCCAGACTCTTGTTGGCAGGGGGCTCTTCAGGAAGGGCTCTGGAGCCTCCCTTGCCCGCAGGCTCTTCCCTTCTCCAGGGTCCTGTCTCCCTCCTGCTTTGCAGGCTGGCACCAAGGCACTGCCAGGAGGAGGCTCGGCGGGGCAGCTGCACTGTTGGGGCGCTCTGTGCACTTACCCCACCTTCTCCTCGGCTTCTCTCTCTCCTACGTGCTTGTCTTTCTGTTCTCGACCCCTGCTTGATTCGGGAGACCCTGCCCCATCTGACAGCATGCCCTACCAAGGCTTTTAGAAAAGTTCATCACGGTTCGTTCAGTGGCTTGTTCCGGTAGGTATTTACTGAGTACCTACTATGTGTCAGGCACTTGGTGCAGGGACGGAGTGAATCAGCCCCTGCCCTCAAGAGGGTTTCTGTCTAGTGGAGGAGAAAGACCAGGGAGCGGTGGATGAGGCCAACTTCCACGCTCCGCGCCTGCAGCGGGGCCCTCAGAGCTGCGGCACTTCAGCCCGTCCTCCTGAACCTCAGTTTCCTCATCTGGCACAGTGCAGGTGTTTGTGCGATTTAAAGAGACAGCGGCACATGGGAGGTGCCAGGTCAGTCCCTCTCCCCTCCATTCCTTTCCTGCACTTGCTGAGGCAGGACTGTCAGTGGCCCGAGGCCTCCGCAGCCTGTGTGCTGGTGGAAGCTCCGGGGGCTGCTCCGTCCCAGTGAGCCCGTGAATCGAGGTGCAGCCTCTCCCTGCGTCATCCTGGGAGGGCATCTCAGCAGCGACATCTCGTCTTAGTCGTGCCTACCTGTCAGTACCAGGGAAGAGGACACCCAGTGGGTCCAGGCAGACTTTTCAAGAGGCCTTTTTGGGCCATTCCAGGGCTGCACGATGCTCAGTGAAGATAAAATGTCAAAGTATTTATAGTCACCAAAACCCCCTACCTGTCTCCTGAAGATAAAGGACTCTTTTCTGGCCCTGATCTGTGGAATTCTCCCGTGAGAGCTCGAGAGAGCTTGGCCCTGACTCGGTGCATTTCCCTCCTCAGCTCCCACGTGAGGGTCCTCAGTGGACGCTGGGCTTGAGTTGAAGTTTCGTAAATATTCTTTTGCTGTTGTTGCTGTTGTTTTATAATTTATTTGATTAGAATCTTACATATTGCCATTGGGTGATAATGTCTTTCAAAACTGCACCCACTCACCCATTGTAAATATTCTTAAGAAAATCTGGGCAAGTGGGTTAGGGTGGGGAGTGCAGCGGCCTGTTTGCTTCCTCTTCAAAGGCCACCCTTGCAAGTAGCTCAGCCTCTTCTGCACCCACTGAGATAAAATGCTTTACAAGGTTCACAGCAATGTTCTGTTTTTAAGTACTTCATGCTCAGTTGTTGTGAGCTGGATTCCAGGCCCCTCCCCACTTTCGTCCCTACACCACCCCACCAAGTTTAGGAACTTGATACAAAAAATGGTTTTGTTCTTTTCCAAAGTAGGGGGCAGAACAAAGGCAGCGGGAAGTGTGAATGGGAGAAGCAGGCCAGAGCCAAGCCGGGCTGCTGGCCTGCCTGCTCTGCACCAGGGCTGACTGCCCCGGCTAGACTGCCCACCCAGCCTGGGCACCACAGCGCTCCTTCTAGCAGAGACGATGCTGTGCCTCTTGGCTTCCTTTCTCACCTCCCAGACCATCCTCAGCACACCTTCTGTACTGAACCAGAATTTCCTCTGCAAGCAGCTTCTCTGGGGAAGAGCCTTCCACATGACCGGTAATTGTGTTCTTTACACAGGAAACCTTGGTCAGGTGTCAGCTTCATGGGTGTGGCCCGCCCATTGGTCAGCTGGTCCAACAGGCGAACCAGTTTCCATTCCTGGCAGTGATTTTTAGTGGGTGCAGACGATCCCAGCTGTGCCCGAGAACCATTCTGTGCTGGGGGAGGCAGGGGCTATACAAGAATCCCCAGCGCATGGCTCCCTCCAGGTCCTCCACCATTTGCTGTGGGAGATGCTTCTTCACGCTAACCCAGGGTCACACGTGTACTAGGGGAATGATTTTTGGTGAAACAGGGCAAGTGAGGTGAGAGTGGCCTCCATTCACCACTCTTAGCTGGGCTAGTCTCACCCCTTAACTGGGTTCTGTGTTGCAGGGACACTGGACACTACACACTCCATTTTCCTCACCGCTCAGGCTAAGAGAAGGCCTGGAAATCAGACAACATGTGAGAAAGTGCGTGCAACGCTGGTTGTTTCCAAAAGGCCACTAGGAAAAGTCGTGTAAATACAAGTCGGTGGACAGAGAACAAAACAAATCATATGCTCAAAAAAAAATTGGGTGGAAACCCATAATTACTTTAGGAGTTATGGTAATAAATTATTTATTAATGTAAATTATTTCACAGGCGAAGAACATAGAGGAAACTTGAGCAGAAGGATCATACATTATGTATAAAAAGGAATTGTAAAAATATTATAGCAGCCCTCCTTGTGCCTCTCTGGTTCAGGTTTGTCAGCATTTTAATTATAAGCCTTTACTTTCTGTGTTTAATTACTTGTCTGTTAAAGTCGGCTCTGCACATTAAAGGGCTTTTCTTGGGGGGGTATCATCTGTATTAATTTCTACAGGGTAAACCAGTTGGCTGGGTTGAGCCGGGCAGGACGAAAAGATTTCAGTCTTTTCACTCCACCACCGTTTGTCGCTAAAAGTGGGATGTGATCGCACCGCGTACGAAAAAGCCTACATTCGGAGGCTGAGCATTTTAGGTTTCC